TTCTTATCCTAACATTGTATCTCAGCACATAAGAAATCTTTTCTGATGCAATAGACTCTTGTGAAAGAAGGTTAAAAACCAGAGAGAATTGTTCTGCTGTCTTTCTGCAATTCGTATTCTTTGCCATAAAATGGTAATTTGCATTGACAGTGCTTCAGAACTAAACCTTTCTAGTTTTGTTTTCTATGTAGTCCAAGGGCACAGCAGTATTTTGAAAGTGCACGATTACTACTTTAAAGGAATCCTTCCATGCTGAAAAACAAGTTCTTTGGTTACCATAAATGCAGCTGAATGGCAGGAATAACTGATAAGCTAACAAAGTATAACAGTGCCTAAAATAGCCCTTTTGTAGGAAAGAATAAAGCATTCAAAATGTGACACTGCAAGACATTTCAGAGCTGAAATTAATTGTATTTCTGGGTTTTATTAGTAGCAAGACCTTTAGATTTCAGCAAGGCTATATTTTCAGGTCAGAGAAGGAGCACAGTAAAATTTGTTCCATAAGTTGTACACCTGGGAGAGAAGCTAAGAAGTGCTTCTTTAACAAGTGACTTCATATTACAGTATCTATAATTTGAAGATACATGCAAACTTTGTTTTGAGATTTTTAGATAAGCCCAGAAGTAGTAATCAGTGAAGGTATAATGTTCATAATGAATGTGTGATAAATACAGTTTGTCACGTAGATCTTTTACATAGACTTTATCCCCAGGTGTGTTCTGGATATATTTAAGAGTATATTATTTTTAAAATGTGTGCATGTATGTGTGTTGCTTAGGGATTCTCCTGGATGAAAGTTGCTTATGTAAGTATAAATCACTGTTTTCCTTGCTGATTTTAAAGCAGTAAATCCTTCCATTATTTCCTGGCTATCCAGACCTTATGACACAGTATGTCCTGTGCTGTTGTATGTGTGAGAAGGCTTTTTACGGGGAGCAATCAGGCTGGACCCCAATCTCCAGTGCAGTGTTTTTTTTCTAATTAAATTGTCAGTGGAAGGAATATCCGGAGCAGCAGTTTTCATTTTCAGTCGAGGAAAAAACATTATGAGTCTTTGTCATTTGATTAAAAGTTACTTAACCTTTAAATTGCTACAGATGTAAAGATAGCTCTGAGTTTCCAATGTAATCGCCTCCAAGTTAAAATCAGGAAAATCTTTGTGTAATGAAACCCATATGTCATAGTGAAAGGATGCAAAGCACTGGCAGAGTGGGCTGCTCTAGCAGGAGATTCTGCACCCAATCTTGTTAACCAGGACTGCTTTTGGTAATCCCTCATCTCCTCACTTGTAGGAAATCAATCTGTACTACTGAATCTTTTCAACCAGCAGCTACAAAATTTACTGTGGAGAGGCAGCTTGGGGACAATTGTAGTAAAAACGGAGCTTGAGGCAACGAGGCTAAATGTGGGATTGAGGGATTGAAGTTCTAAAGAGGAGATTATATTAAACCTTATTCTGCTCCCCTATCAAGTAGAAATGTCTCCTCCTCCTTACAGCCCCAGCCTTTCCTACCCAGTACCTGTTCTTGAGATCTGCTTGGCAGATCTTGCCAGGGAGGAAACTTAATTCCTACAGTACAGCGTTCTCTGTTAATTATAATAGCCTGATACCGTTTTTCAGTAAGTTTATCTGAAGGAGTTTGTTTAAGCAGTACTTCCAGAGCAACCAATGCTGATATCAACTTAAAGTGGTTTTTTTTTCTGTGGAGTTCAGTGTCTTCCTTCTCCTTAGTAGGTGAGGTTAATTTGTATCCAAGCTATTGCAAAAGTATCCATTGTTGATTTTTCTATTGTAGTAGATGCACAGCGTAGACAAGGTTGTAAATCGTGACTTGTCATGCAGATTCATGCTTCTGTTTTGTGCTGTGAAGCCTCTGTAGTGTGTGTCTGCTGGTACAATGAAACCTGTGCTCAAACCCTCTCTTCCCTTGAAGTCCATGGTTTAAACTACTATTGTAAAGAAAAAATCCCTGAGGTTTTCGATATAGTTTTGTCCAACCTTTTAATTAAAAAATCCACCTCTATCTACTATTCAAATGGCTTCTGCTGGTCCCTTGGGTAGTTGCTTAAAGCTGGTTTTACCATCTCTCTTAGCCTGCAATCGTATTTGGAATGTGGGTGATGGTTTCTTCATTCACAAGCTCTTCCCTCACTCCAGCAAGCTCCATAAGACCCCAATGGAAATTATATTCCTATTATTAAGAATTCATTTCTCAGAAGCAATACTGAGCAGAGAAGTCAGTTTAATATTAGAGCCTTTTACTGTGCAAAATCCATCAAATCATACTCCAGCACAGATGAAAAAGAAACAAAGGTGAAGGAATAGCCAAGATGTTTGAACGCAGTACCATGTAATAAAAATTTGGCCTGTGTTTACCAGGAATACATTGAACTGTGGTTCTTGGGCAGATAAGGGAAGCAGCTGAAGCAGGGAAGACTGTTAATGCTTGTGGAAACTTGCCCTTAGTTTGGCTGTGTTTTTTCTGTCAAATGATGATGTTACTTCCTGGCCATTTTTATACATATACAAAGATAAAAGGTCCTTTTTTCTTTCTCACTTTGGCATCATATCTTTAAAAATAAAGCCCTGCTGCAAGCCTGAGTCTGTGAGGAGACAAGGAATACAGAATAGCAGAAGGCTGTCTCCTGCTCCTAATGGGATTTTGTAGCAGCATGTGCGAGTTTGTTTCAGAAGTCAGAAATGAACAGATGTTGGTATAAATTACCTCTGTGTCTGATGTCTTGCAAATTAAAAGCGCGGTTGGCATCACTAAACAATTTCACCAGGTTGGGGGGGGAAGCGGGTGGTGATTATTGTAGCAGGTCGGTAAGAATCTTTAAGCTGCAGCAGAACAGGATAGCAAGGATAAAGGAATGAAGAATAAAATGAGAGGTCTGTGAATTAATCAGAAATGTTAACATCTCCGATGACAAGTGAACAGGCAGGCACGTGCTCTTGGAGCAACCTCCAACCCACAGTAATTTCACTCAGCGCACAGAAGGAGTCTATGCTCTGCCTGATTTATAGGGTGCAGCCCTCTTTGGGGGAACAGAATTGTCAGGCATTCGTATATCTCCTGTATGGGACTTGCGCTCTGGGAAACTTTCCACTTTATCAGCTACAGTTCAGCTTATATGCTTTACCTGTTAAGAGTGTTTTAAAACCATACACTATTGTTGGAGCAAGGCAGGGAGGTGTCAAAGAACTAAGTACTAAGAATCTCTTCCTAGCTGAAATTTTAAAAATCTTTCAGTTTTATTTAATCATGTTCTTTGTGCATAACAACTTGGTTCCTGACAAAATACCAATGCACTCTGTTCTTCTGCAGCACCTCCTATCCCTGTGTCACTTCAGCAGCACTTAAAACATACAGGTTATCTTGGGGCTGGGGAGGTAGAGGTACAAATGAGTACTTTTGTGGTAGTTCATGCTGTGACTCAAAAGCAGAATCCCAGGAGATATAACTCACAGCTGGAGGCATGAGGCAAGTAAATAGTGTGCAGTGATCTGCTTGAACCTGCAGCCGGTCTGAAGCATGTTCCACTCAGGACAGTGGACTTCGCAGCTTCGCAGTATCAGTATGTAACAGACAGGTCATATACTCTTACATACAATTAATTGTTTTACAGGGATTTTGCTGACGAAACCACCACGTTATAAAATTTTGTGTAAACAAATTAGATTGTAATAATTCAAAGAAGAGGCTTTAAGACACGAATTGTAACTTTTATGTAAACAAATAACAAAATATCTTTATCTGAGTGCACACTGAATTTGTAAACTGAACATTTTTATTACATTTTAGCTCTGTACTGACAGATAATCAATAATGTCAAAAGAAAAACCAACATCAACAAACTCACCTGCAGTTTTTATGCTAATTTTAATTTCTGATGTTTGTCTCAGTAGAGAAGTCAGGAATTGAATGGATAAAACAGAAAATTTATTCCTATCTCCTTCTAGACTGTCTTTGAGGCTAGGTGTGGGAAACATGCATGCTTTCAACATAAAATAATAAAACCCTCCACATTTTGATGCCTTCCAGTCCAGCACAAAGCTTGCACCTTTATTGAAAAGAAATGGAGGGGCACCAGTGGGAAAACTGTCTTTCTCCCGGCCTCAATTGCTAATGGTGTTGTCTTTGATGCATTGTATTGTTATTGCAAGACAAGAGTAGTATGAGGGCTGTGCTGTCAGCTTGTGAGCTTATGGGTTCTCAAGTCAGAAATGTCTCATGCAGAAAAGTGGCTGTGTAAACCCTGCTGCAGTACAGCTACCAGAGATTGATGGTACTGAGTGAGAGAGAGACATATAAGCCTTGCCTTGCTGTATTAAACATTGAAGGACTGACAACGCAGAGAGAAAGAGAAGACCAAAGCTCTATAAACTTTACTTTATTACCCTATCCATAGATGAACTGCATTGAAGAATATAAACCCCATTATATTACAGCATCCAGGGATTGACACTGCTGAGAGAGAGAAAATGCTGCCTAATTTCTGTTGAAGACCACATCATCCAGGGACCAATAATCCTGGAACAGAGAGAGTTCCATAATCTCTGACAGATTATAACATACAGGAACAATTGTGCCAAGATAGAGTGACGGAGATTTGGATTTCACCATTCAGAGATGGATAGTACAGAGAAAAGGAGGTGCTGCAAGAGCATAATGCAGTAGGAACAGAAAGCATAGATTGTATGTAATGAGACAGCCTGTAGGAATTATTGCTGAGTTTAGAAGATTCCAGACCCTGCCTGCATTTGTAGCATGTCAGGAATTCAAGCTGAAGTGCAGTTTTATTTATTTTCCACTTTAATAGATAAATAAAATAATTCTTAGTTTTGGTACAGCACAAATCTAAATTCATTTCTTATTGACGGTTAGAATATGTTATACAATTATACAAATTATACAATTATACAAATTATACAATTGTTAAGAGTTTGTTGGCTTTTTAAAAAATATTGATTTCATTTTCCTCTCTTATGATTTCAGCTAGAGAAATGACTCGAGGGAAATTCCTGAACATCCTTGAGAAACCCAAGAAGTAGCTGCATCTAGCATTTGGATGAAAATACCCCAACTAGGTAATTTTATGTACTGTGGATCCAGATGAAGCCCAGAAAGTCTAAGAAGAACAAAGCTCTTGCTCTAGACCTTCAGAAGCAAACATCTCTTTTTGCTTCCACAGCTCATCTCTTTACAGAGGAAATGTACCATAAGCACAGTTCTCAAGGACTGCAGCTGGTTGCATTGGAATTTGGACTTCATCTGACCATAGGATGTCCAACAGGAGGACTTGGCCCTGACATGCTGTGACACAGTTACCTGTTTCAATCAGCAGCTCAAAGTGAAGAGCCAGTATCCTTATTCAGCTGCTCTCAGGAGGCAGCCTGTTTGAAGTACACAGCAGATCTGACACTGGCCCAGTGTCCATTATGAGGCCTTGACCCTTTTGTGTGTCTTTTGTCTTCGATGCATTGATTTCCTGTGTGTGACATCGGTGCCGAAGTATTCGAGGTGTGGATTGACCAAGAGCACTGGCTCAGCAGGAGCATATGCTTTTAGTGTAGCAGCTGAGTGCAGTCTCTGCACTAGGTTCCAGTTGCTCACTGCCTTTAGAGAAGCACATCTGGTGCTCTGAGGAAGACCTCCAGACCTTTGGTGTGCCGGGAGCTTCATTTCACTGCTAAATGATTCTCTAAGTGAAATTGAAACTAACAGACCACAGGGAGTAAGAAGTGTATCTCAGGGAAGATATCCTCACAGAAGCTTTGGCCAGTACACAAGGAAACAGCTTTGTCAGTCCTCTGAAATTCTTTGCTTCTTGCAGGGCAGAAACTGTAAAGAGTTATAAAGTGTAAAGATGGTAATGTTTTCAGTTATCACTCCAACAAGTGGCAACAGGACTGTTAGCCACATTGTGATGATGGCTGTACACGGTCTCAGCATCTAAGAAAATAATGTTTTGTGGTATTTTTAATTGCTTATAAACCAGCACCTCAAAATCTTCTTCTCCTACAAAACCAGAATTTTTAAGATAGAAACTTCTCTGAGCTGCTCCCTTTCAGAACACTGTGATTACAATTTAATGCCTTTTTCTTCTCTTCATGCGCTCTTACACATTTCCCCCCTTGGAAGAGGTACAGAGCATGTTCAGACTTTTTGTTTTATTTAAGAGAATATTTTTTTTCATTCCATCCTCTTTCCTTTTCCTAGAAAACAACAGTTTAAACATTAGTAAATATGTTCTTTTTTAGGATACAACATAAATACAATAAATATGTTGAAACATAACATAACATGATGTTCTTTTTACCATGCAGGCTTTTCAAAACGTGTCATTTCTCAGGCTGTAGTCACATATGAGAGAAGAAATTATTTGGAAATAGTACATGTAACAGGCTGTCCTTACAGCAGTGCATTTTTCTGGCTTTGCAGGAAGAGGAGGCTCTTTTTGGGTGCATGTGTAATAAAGAGGGGAAGGTTTGGTTTTTTTTATCAAATAGACTTCTGAGTTTTACTGAATTGATGGTGATTGCGGTCTGTGGTTTTGGTTATTGCCAGTCAGAACTAGGCTTGTTTGGGACAGCTCCAGTTAACTAAGTAGTTAAATCCTACATCCTGGAAAGACCCTGCACAAATTTAGAAATATCAGGAGCCTGATTTAAGACTTAACAGAGTTATTTCTGTCCTTCACAGTTTATGCAGGGCTGAGCTTAACAGGAATTCCGTCCCTTGAGAACATGAGAATTAAGACAGATGAAAGAGAAGAGAAGCTGAAAGTGGTAGTTCAGGAACAGAAAAACCCAGTGGTGCAAACTGATGTTGATGTAGCTTTAAGCATTGAATTACAGATTTGAAATGCAAATTTAAGTTTGTATATTATATATGTAATATATGTACACATATATGACATAATGGGATACTTCATCTGTATCACCAGTATTATTTTGTGCATTTTATAGAGGTTTCTTGGTCCAACACATTAAGGAATTGAGATCTAAAAGGAGGATAGAGGAAAATATATGAAAGCTTGTCCTGGAAGTATATGTGTATTTTCTGATATGTGCAGTAGGAAATTTCAAACTCTAGGTAGTTTTTAGTAACATACATATGTTAAAAAAAAAATCCTTTTATTATACACAGTAATCATCTTCTATAGGGCAGCCATTAACATATGCTTTAGAATTGTAATATTTTTTGGTTTTGTATTTATCATCTGTAGAGATGAGTCAATTATGTTATTTTTTTATTGGCAATATTTATATGTATTTTTGTGTGTTAGAGAACCTTTTTTGCTTTTTGGTTTAATAATATGCAATTGCAAACCTCAAAGCTTTGTCTGGGTTTCCAAAATAGCCCTCTGAGATGCAAAAGCTTTTGCTTGGCCACTTAGGCAATATTATTCCTCAGGCTCTTCTTTACTTACCTGCATGACACCACCTCAGGGTTTGGCCTGTGGATGTTCCCATCAGTAAATAAATATCTATCAATATCCAAATGCTACTAAGGGTTTTCATACCCCTTTGAACCCTATTTTTTCATTCAGTGCTATCTTTCCTGACATCCATGCAGTTATCTATCTATACAAGAAAATCCAAGTGACTTTTTGTTGCTGATGGGAATGAAGAGTTGTGATGGATTGGCATTTAGGAAAAAAGTCGGAAAACACCCACAGATGTGATGGCTCTGAGAGAGGCTGCTGGGAGTTCCTTCTCTGCCTGAGACCTGGCCAATAGCTGTCCATTTCTGAGAATTGACAGTATTTTTGACCACTGAAAAAGTGGGATCACCTTTGTGAATACCACCTTTTAAACCTAAGCCTGGGAGCTTCAGGCTCTCTTTGTTTCCGGCCTTGAAAGGTAACAGAACTCTGGTGCAGCTGCCCACCCCTTGGGGCCCGTCCAGCCTGGGGAGGGGGCTGAGCTGGACTCCAGCGGCTCCTGGGAGGGGGATGGAGGCTGCGGTGAATCGGCCCCAGGCTGGGCCAGGCTGTGCTGCGGTGTTCGCTTCTCCCGGGAAGCCTCCGGGTCCCATTCCTGCGGGGTGGCCAAAGCTCTTCCCAGGGGGACCCCGGACGGCTGTTGATATTCGCCAACCCCCCCATGGCCCACACAGAAGGCTCTGAGGACTGTCTGCTCCTTCCCTGGGGCTGCTGGGCTGAGAGAGAAATACCTGAAATCTGACACCATGAATACCTGCTGCGGCTTGGGCCAGATTTTAACACTTTCACTGCCCAGATGAGACCTGCAGATTTAATCCCTGTCCAGAGAGAGGAAAGTGAGGGTGATCAACATGTAAAGAGACAACATAAACCATCAGAGTCAGTAAAGGAAAGAATCAAGCCTCAGATGGAAGGAGAATGAGGAGATGCTTTAATGAGCTGCAGTATTCTTTTGGTAAGGCCATGGAGATGGACAATAATGTTCTGAAAAATTCCTTTAATTCATGAAAGAGTATTTGGGGGGAATGAAGTATTTCAAAGTTTAGATCTGAGCAAAGGTATCCATTGATGAAAGTGAGCAGATGGTGGAGCAGTTGTGGTCCCATGAGATGCTGAAACAGAGAAAGAAAAGTGAGAGTTGATGAAGACCCTTGGCCCCCAGGGAGAAAAAGAGAAAACCTCTGTTCCCAGAGATGATCACAGAGACAGATGAAGAGAACCTTTGCCTTTGAATAACTCATCTTTAAAATAATACCCCTTGAGTTCATGGCCCTTGAACACACTTCTGAGTGGTGTGAAAATGGGAGGAGAGCATGATGGCACAGTTTGTGCCTGGGCAGCTGCCATCATGGGAATGAAAAGCCATGAGAAAACTGTTTTCTTGTGGAGAACTCTATGGAATGACAAGAGAGAACTCCTCTCTCTACAAAGACTGATGAAAAGACTATTGTATAGTTGGGACTGCTTTAACCACCAGGTTTTGTCTCTCTTTTGTCAGTTGGACAAGGGAAAGGTTGGGTGGTGGGGAGGAAGAGTTTCTGCAGGTTTTATTGTTGTTTCTTATTCTTGTAGTTCTGTTAATAAACTTTATTCCTTTTAAGTTTTGAGCCTGTTTTGCCCTTCTCCTAATCCATATCTCACAGCAAGAAATTAGTAAGTTTTCTGGTGATTTTTAGCTAGTGCTTTAAAACCACCACAAGAGTGTAAGAAAATCAGGATTTGGTAATATTAATCAAGCTGATGCATTGTTTTATAAAGTGTTTTCATGTATTGCTATATTAGATGTTGCTGTGAGTTTCTTGGAAGTAAACTCAGTATTTATTTGGTTCCTTTTAAATGCTAGTATTACACACATTCAGTTATAAAGGCTATTCCCTTCAGTCTTGGACTATCAAATGCTTTGCTATCTAATCCAACTGAGAAGAAGTTCTTGTTTGTTGTGTTAATCATTATCAAAATAAAAGTCCACGTGCACTGGCAATTGAATAATGTGATATTCCATTTAACTCAGTGTTTCGCCATTACAAAATCAACAATTTTGTAACAGTCCTGTAACTCACAGTTTTCAACTTTAATTAATATTTCCTTCAAAAAGACACCTAGAAATGACAAACTATTGAAAACTGACTGATCCGTCTTGGAGATAATGTTTTAACCTTATTCTGGTTTTAGTGATTTTTATGTTACGTAAAAATGTAAGGTGCTATTACAAGTCAAATCACAAGCCAGTCTTATCTGTAATCTTCTCTTTGCTTATAAACAGTTGTAGAAGGATAGGGAAGGATATAAACAAAAGGCTTACACAGTGATTTTGCATTAGGGTAACTTACACAGCATCCAGCAATCTGTTTTAGTTGAATCTGGTCCACAGTTGACCCTACCCTCCATGAATTTATATTAGTCTTAATTTGTCTGTACGTCTGACCTGAAAAATACCCCAGGATAGTGAATTCCATAACTCAGTTATACAAAGAAAGGTTAAAAAAAAAAAAAAAGAAGCTGGGGGGGGAAGTTGTTTAAAATCTGTTTACCTGATTATTCTGTTTTAAACCTTTAATTTCTTTTATTGTCAGGAACAGTTGTTTGGATTTTTTTTCTTCATTGCCGTCTGTGCACTACTCATTTCAGGTTCTACTGTGTTTTTTTCTGTGGTTATGTTCACCTTTTTTGTGTTCACGATGTTCAGTGGTCTGTCTTCTATTACAGCCTGAGCTGGCATAATCAAAATTGCAGAGTACTGTTAGTACAAGCATACTGTGAAGTGTGTACGTCCTAATTGCAGTTTGTATTTTGTTACTCTGCTGTTTTGTTTCACAGCATCGGGGCCTAAATCCTGTTTTGAGTATCTCTAAGAACAGGATCATCAGCTAGATTTGCAGCTGATCTCATCCACTCCACCTACAGTAACTAGTGCTGGGCAAACTGATTTTTCCAAATCACAATGACAGTGATGCCAGCCATTCCATGCTGATGGATTGACACCTGGCAATTCCACCATCAGCCTATGCAGTATGTGAAAAAGGTAAATTTCATCTTTTTCACACGGTCTGAAATCCTGGCCTCCTGGCCTCCCACAAGTTCAGCAACTTCTCATTAATGTTTCTATAGTACTTCTAAACTAATATAAATTTTTAGATATAATCAAAAGAAAAAGACAACTTGCAAATTACCACTGCAGAAAGTCCACATTGATGAATACTCTCCCCTAGAACCAGCGGTCATTCAGAAACACCAGAGATACAATCTCTGGTGTAGCACTTCAAGCATCCTCACACTTCTCAGGCAACAAGGGTGCTTGTAGTGGGAAAATGTGTCACATCTTTGAGTGAGCTATCTGAACATGGTATACAAACTTGATGTTGTACTCCTATCTTCATATGCCGGTCTGTACTGACACTTTTGAAGAAGTCATTAAATAATCTTTAGTAGAAGATGATAATTCATTGAAAGACAATTTTCTAGAAGGTTGTCTCTGTATCTTCAGCCCAGGAAAATTACAGTTGTACAGAAACTTTGCATACAGCAACAACTCTGAGCTGGATAAAAATTATTGGAAGAACAATTACAAATGTTGTAAACACATTTCTGTTATCACTATAGCAAAACCTTCCCACCACAGAAATACCAAAACCCACACCCACTGCTATTTGCACATCCCAGTACATACATCAGCCAGGATGCTGGATATGTCCAAAAGGTACTGCATATGTCATGCCAAATACATATTGCCCTGATAAGAGGTGCACTTCGGTATTTTTAGAAGGCAAGAAAAGAGAAAAAAAAATCTAAAAAGAGAGACAAAGAAAATTGAGGATAAGGAAATGAAAAAACTGTATCTTTTTGGTTTTACATAATGCTGTGCTTCTTGGAATCACACCTATTCTAGAGACATGTTTTTTCTGCAAGCCAGTCTTTCCATTAAGTGCTTCTGAGTTTCTTTCAGGAGGATGTGAAATGCAATATTCTGAACTCAAATCATTGTGGCCAATCATAAAGTCCACATAAAGATAGTTAAAAGGTTAAGTAGCCAGAGATCCAGACTGATTCAGGTATTATAAAGTGTAATCCACATTCTGCATAGATTATGTGCAACAATGCCAGTTTCATTTAGATTGTGCTAGATTTTCAGCATGGCAGGATCCCTTCACATCTTGACTTCATCATCCACTGAAACTGCTGGTTTTTAGACTTGACCTTTTCCGTCGTGTCTCTTTGAGGAGGATGACTGACTCCAGGCAGCTGATGAGTGTACAGAATAGGCGTTTTCTTGTTGGGTTTGTGTGGTTGACCTCTGCCCTGCATGCTGATTCCTATAATACAGATCAGTGACCAGTGAAGCCAGAACGCTCCCTGCCTGTCTCTGTTATAGACACCTCAGTAAGGAACAGAAAAGAGGAAGAGGGCTGAGCTTGAAAGCCCTTACTTAATTGCTAGTAGAAAAAATGGGTAATAAGAATGACCTTGCACCTTATTTATTGACCAGATCTCTGTGAGGACAAAGTACTTGACTTGGTTCTGTATCACTTGAAAGGCTGGCTCTGTGGCCCATAACTGATGAGTAGGCGTAATAATATAGGG